GGTGCACCCACATTGTGGAAGGTCATCTGCTTTGCTCAAAGTCTCTGCTTAAAATGTTAACCTCATTCGAAGACCACCTTCTCTGAAGCATCAAGAGTGTCTGATGCTTCCACGGCTCAGCCAAGTCAGCATACTCGTTAACGTCGTACGTCAGCATTCCCAATTGGCCCACTGCGTTCTATCCCTTACGCTGTAGGTAATATAGGGAACTTACTCAGGGCTTGGCCTCCTTCTGGAAGCCTGTCCCAGGAGCAGGCAGGGCTTGGAGTTCGTCCCCAGAAGTCACCGGCCAGTGTCAGCATGGACGAAGGCTGATATTTCTTGCTCTGGCCGCTAGTATCAGAGTTCTGGTGCTCCTGTCAGTGGGGCCTCCCCCCTCAGCTGGCCTGTCATTTAATTGGTGCCATTGCTTCATGCCTGTCACTCTGGTTCCAGGTTTAGGCATGAGTAACTCCTTAGGTGTCCCCTGCTGGAAATGGCTTTGTCTTCTTGACTGCCATCGCAGTGCTCAGACATGCTAAAGTGTTTATTAGCAGAAAGCCTCTGAGTGCTGCCTCCCTGATGTTTCTTTTTTCTGGGAAAAAATATTTGTGTAAGTTGCGGTCTTGTTATCATTTTCCCTCCCCTCCGTGAACGGCTGAAGTTGGCCTCCCGTCCACCCCGCCTGCTCTTATCTGACCTCTGTGTCACATTGTTAATTTGATGATAAATAATTCCCTTACAAGAGAGAAACCCTGTCTGGGCATTCTGGTGTCTGCAGAGGCTCGGAAAGGAGCTGCCTGATGGTGCCTAGATGGTAGCGGAGAGGGTCCCCAAGATTGAAGAAGGAGGCTGGTTCCCCACTGGAAGTGAATGAGTGACAAATGAGTGAGTGGTGGAGCTGAGCACATGTCAGAAACTAGGTGTGGTTGCAGTGTGGAGATCGTTATTTGGGGGCCCTGTGATTGGAGTGTGTCCTGGGTCCTCTGTGCAGGTGGACTGACAAGACTAGGCTTTTGCTTATGGACTGGTAGTTGGTATGGGCCCCATGTCTTGCCTAAGGCTCAGAGAGGTGACACCCTGAGGAGGCCTGTCCTTACCCCAAGGCGTATGAGGGTGCACACCTCAGCACTGACTGCTCCCCAGCATTTGGGGTTTCCTGCCAAGCCTTGTCCGCCTGCTTTCTCAGAAGGCCAGGTCTTTCCGGGTAGCCTGGGCAGGCTGGGGTTTGTGGCTGGCCCACCATCTGGCTGCAGGTTCTTCTGCATACTGGCAGGGCTGCTGGAGATGGCTGGCACCTTGCCCCAAGAGCTTCCTCAAGGAGTGGCCTGGTGACAACGTGGGTCAGTGGGGTGGCTTCACACCTGCCTGCGCCTCCATCCTCAGGGCCTCCTGCTGTTCTTGGAAGTGCTGCTTGGTGTTTTCCGAGGCAGGGCACTTGTGACCGAAACCAGAAGCTCCAGTCTGGACCCAGCCCGACCTTCCTCTGCAGAAGGGTTTGGCTGGGAGGATAGGGTGGCATGGCAGAGGTCCTGCCCAGCCTGTCTTTCTTCTTTGAGATCCCAGGAGAGGCCTGGCAAGATGGTTTGACAGTGTACCACTTTGTAGCCCTTGGCCTCTGCCAGGAGGGTCGTGGAATTGTGAGACTTGAAAAAGAGATAAAAAATATTGAAGTGAGCCCATTTTGAAGGTAATAATCCACAGGTCTTGAAGCTTACTAGGTTTCACGGTTCACTTGAGGGCTTCTGACTGGAGAGAAAGAAAACAACTTGATATGCAGTTTACATAGACTATTTATTGGGTTCTTTCATTTGTGTATACAAGGGAAGATGGCTGGAAATCAGAAACATGGCGACATGTGGATCTATTTATGTTTACTTGTCCAGCATAATCTCTGGGTTGCTCTTATTTGGATTAAAATGTGAGTGATTTCTTAACCCAAACTCCCAGTTTAAGTGAAGGGTAATTTCTGGTGACATGTCTGCCCTGTGGAGAGCGGACTGTGAGTCGGCCGTGTTTATCCTTGGGTTTTATTGCTGCCAGGTGTCTAGAAGCTGCAACTTGCATTTGGACATCACGGGCCTGAGGTTTCTTGGCAACCAGTGAGGGTGGCAGGAGGACTCATGTGGAGCCTGGTGCCTGCGTGTCTGCCGAGTGGCTGAAGCACCTCTGTGCTGGAAACAGGGACCATGCCCATTTTTGAGGGAAGCCCAGGGAGGACCTGAGAAAGAGGGGCCCTGCTTTTGCAGCCAGGAGTCTATGTAGCTCTCTGTCCACATTCATTTCTTTTTAAGATTGTGGTCAGCCCAAAATATAGTATATGTATTATTCCCCCAGTGGATGGCTGAAACCATGGGTATTACTGTAATCTATATATACTGTTTTCTTCCTGTGCATGGATACCTATGATACTGTTTGTTATAAATTAGGCACATTGAGTTTAACAGCAGTAAACTACACACCAGCAAGCAGCTCACATTGGTAATCCTACCCACTTGAGAGGCAGATTTTGGGAAGTTTACAGTTGGAGGCCAGCCTGGGCAAAAAGTTGATGATACTCCATCTCAACTAATAACTGGATGCTATGGCATGCCCCTGTCACCACAGCTGTGTGAGGGGTTGAGATCTGGAGGATTGTGTTTATAGGCTGGTCCAGGCAAAAGAGTTTGTGAGACCCCCATCCCAAAGGAGAAAAGCTGGGCAATTGGGTATGGTACACACCTGTCATCCCAGCTACCACAGGAAGTGTAAAATATGAGGAGTCTGTCAGCCTGGGCAAAAAGCACGGCCCTATCTCCAAAACATCCAGAGCAAAAAGGGCTGAAGATGTAGTTTAAGCAGTAGAGCGCTTGCTAGTAAATGTGAAGCCCTGAGTTTAAACCCCAGTACTGCCCCCCCACGCAAATTTAACAATAGCCAATAATAAAGTAGATCAATTTTAACAACACAATGTTATGTGAATGTGGTCTCTTTCTCTCTAAAAATATTGTACTGTACACCTTAGCAAACTCAGCATACTACCTTTTGTCTTCCCTTGTCGAGAACTTCCACTTTTTCACTTAGAGGAAGTACTTGCCAGCATCACGACTCCTGTGTTCCAGGGCTATTATTAAATAGAAGGAGGGTTACGTGAACATAAGATAAGCACTGTGATACTGTGACAGCCCATCTGATGATCAAGATGGCTACCAAGTGACTCTCATGACAGTAGTCTATACAGTGTGGATACACTGGAAAAGGGGCGATTGACACCCCAGTGGGATGAGACAGGTGATGTGCGATTTCATCATGCTACAAAGAATGGTTCATGACTTAACATTTATGAATTATTTTTAGAATAGTTTTGGCCCATGACTGAAACTGCAGAAAGTGAAACCTGAGATAAAAAGTGTACTCTGCTTGTTCAGGCCAGGGATGTACTTTTATTACTTTTTGGCTGCCTCTGTTTCTGTGGAGAGCAAAAAACATGATTCTTTCAAACTCAAAAGGATTGGGTAAAGTGCCTGGAGGTCTCTGTTTCCTGTGTAATTACTGGATTAAAAGCTTCTATTCCCGTGTGCACCTGAGCTGTGTGCACAAAGAAGGTTTGCACGAATGCACTCCAGTTGCTGGCCTCTGGTATTCGGGGAGGGGAGGAGGAGAGGGGGAGCTTTAGCCTTTTGAACTTCTTTTATTGCTTTTCTTTTATACATAAGTAGTTTTGAAATCTACTTTTCTGATAGAGAAACAGGTTGTTTTCTTTTTCTTTCTTTTGTTTATTTTGGCTTTTGAGACAGGGTCTTCCTGTATAGCCCAGCCTCCCAAGTGCTGCGATTACAGGAGTGAAGCCCATGCCCTACTTGGGTTGTTTTCTTATTGTGGGAAAGTATACCTAACAATATTTACCATCTAACTGTGTTTGAGTGTACAGTGCAGTGACATTAAGCACATTGATGTCACAGTGCCACCATCATCATCCATCTCCACAACTCTTCCATTTTCCCAGACTGGAATTTTTTCTTCAGCAAATAGCAGCCCCCAACCCCCTCCCTCTGCCCCTGTCACCTGCCATTCAGCTTTCCACCTCTACAGATTTGGCTCTGCATCTCAAGTCAGTGGAATATCACGCAGTATTTGTCCTCTCGTGTCTGGCTAAAAATAATTTTGTCATTATCAAATGTTAATTGTATTTATTTTTTAGTTTTCCCCCCCACATTTGTAGGTGGAGGTACAACTGGAAGTAGCCCTCCTTTTCTCAGGGAGACATGATATTCTGAGGAGGAAGTGTTGAGTTCGTGTTCTCTTCCCGTTTTACGTAAAGCATTCGTCATTGGGGTGTGATTGAGTCTTGTCCCTTTTTGTAATGCAAAATCTGGCAGCCCTAATAAGTTATTTTTTTATTAATTAGTCAATGTCATCTAGCAAAATAAATAGTCTTTTGGTAAATGAACACTTGACTTGGGTACACTGTGGTAGCAGAAGTTAAGGCATGGCTAATTGTTATTTCCCTGAGTACATTAAGTGAAATTAAAACCTCACATTTGGTGTATGTATACACATACCCAAATAAAGTAGTTAAAAATTGTAAATTATCATCCCTTTTGTGTATACAATGTGCTAATGAAGTTGCATAAAAGGTATATCTATTCTTAAAAAGTGGATTTTTTAAAAAATCCATCAATTTGGGCTGGAATGCAGCTCCGTGGTAAAGCGCTTGCCTGGCATGTGTGAGGCCCTGGGTTTGACTCCAGCATCAAAAAACAAAAGACAAAAATTAAATTAAAAAAAAAATAATGCATCAGTTGCAATATTAGATTGTATTTTTTCGGCTTTTATCCCAGGTGAAATTTATCCCTACATCTGTCAGATCTTTTTCTTTTTTTTGATCTTTTCTTTTCTGGTGCTGGGGATGGAACCCAGGGCCTCACGCACATAAGTTAAGTGCTCTACCACTGAGCTACATCCCAGCCCTCAAATCTCTTTCTAGTGACTTACAGTGAATCAAATACAGAGGTATTTTAAAAGATATTTTAAATTCCTTTTAATTGTTCTTCAAATTAATAAACAGTAAGTGATTATTTTGTTATCAGGTTAATGCTAGCTTCATTTAACTTGGGAAATAAATGTTTCTTCCTTCTCTTCTTTTTTTTTGGCAGTACTGGGGTTTGAACTCAGGACCTTGTTCTTGGTTGGCAAGGGCTCTCCCACTTCAGCTATTGCTCCTAGCCCTTTTTTTTCTTTTTGTTATTTTTCAGCTAGGGTATTGTGTTTGTGCCCCCAGCCTACCTGGTCTACCATCTTTCTACCTGTGCCTCTCGCATAGCTGGGATGACAAGCGTACACCACCACTCCCAGCTTGTTTGTTGAGATGAGATCTTGCTAACTTTTTGGTTGGACTGGCCTTGAACTGTGGTCCTCCCAATCTCTCCCTCACTAGCAGCTGGGATTCCAGGCACCAGCCATTGTGCCTGGCTCCTTTTCTTACTTTCTAGAAGAGATTATGTATAATTGCTGTTACTTCTTCCTTAACATATTGGGCAGAATTTGCCAGTAAAACCATCTGGCACTTTCACATATCTTTTTCTGAGGGTTTTAACTACACATTCAATTTCCTCTGTAGTTTATGGTATTATTGAGGTTATCTGGCCCATCTTAGGTGGGTTTTGTTCATTTATAGTTACTGAGAAATTTGATTTTTTCCCTTTAGACTGTGGATGTTATGTGATAGAGTGTTTAGTGTAAGAGGAGCCCTGGGAGGCATGTGATCAGGACTGGTAAGTTAATATGTGACCCCTTATTGACCTGCATGACTTCCGTGTCTCTAGAAGTGCGAAATTGCTGCCTGGGAGCAGCGATGCACTGGGAACGTCAGGTGGCTTTGGGCTAGAGCAGGAAGAAACCTGCAGCCTTCCCGGAGGGCTACCAAGATTTCTGCCTCCATTCCTGGTGTTCATTCAAGGCGACTGTTCTGAGTGGCGTGTTAATAAGTGCAAATCATTTATGGTATGTCTCTTTCCAGTAAAGGAACATGTTAGCCTGTTTGCAAAAGCCAAGCAAATGAGGCCAAATGGAGTGGTGTGTTGGAGTGGGATATTTTATTTAAGCAGAGTGCTTTGCTGCTTTTTATTTGGTGGCGCTGAGATGGCTGACAGTATCTCCTTCTCTGACATGTTGTCCCCTTTTGTTACAAGTTTTAAAGTAGAAGCTATTTGAATGACAGGAGCTGTAGATTTTGGTTCCTGGCCTTGACAGTACTGTAGCATCTTTCCATGTGAGGGGAAAGGCCACAGGTCTTTAGTAATTCTTTGAGCAAGGTTAATTTTGCTTCTTTTAATTAAAAAAATCTGTGTCACATTGGGCTTTAAGATAGGAGAGTGGTTTGTGAACAATAAAAGGAAGGTAGGTTTCTGCAAATGCAGGTTTGGAAATGGCTAATACAAAGGGAAGTGTGGGCTGTTGGGGACCCTGAGCCACCATGGGGCGCCGAATTGCAGTGACCACAGACGGCGGGGCGGGGGGGTGGGCAGCCAAGCCCCACATGGTAACCTTCATGGTCTCTCTGTGTCTTCCTGCAAGTGGTTCTGTGTGGCTGTCGTCCCAGGGTGTTCCGTCTCAGGCTGTGCTCATCAGCTGCAGGCTGAGCGTCCTGCCTAACTGGCCAGGTGTGTAACTTGGGCATCAACAGTCTGGTTAGTCACACAAATTCTAGGTGACCCCAGGCTGTGTGAGGTGTAGTTCTGATCCCAGGTGCTCCAGCAGGCCGTGGCAGCTGGAAGTGAACCTGCAAGAGGCTAGCCACCCTTCCTCCCTCGTGGTCATGTCCACGCAAGGGTTGAAGAGCATTGGGACTTCTAAGTGTGGCTCCCACCTTACTATACAGTAAGCCATGTTTAAGTACAGTGAGTCAAAGGAGGGAGATCAAAACACCATTTGTCCCTCTGTGTGAGAGGACTGATTCTAGGAGCCTCTGAACACCCAAATCCTCAGACACGCAAGTCCCTTATACAAAATGCACCTCCTCGTGTATACTGAAGACTAGCTACAATCCCTAAGTTGGTGTGCATGCTATGTAAGTAGTTGTTTTTGCTGTACTGTTTAGGAAATAATCACATGTGTTCATCAGAGGTGTGGTTTTTCTTTTTTTTCTGAATATTTTGAGCTGTGGACGTATGACCTATATGTGACCTTTTGAGTCTCCTTTGGTGGGAGCCAAGTGCCCAGGAGCTGTAAGAAAGCTGCCGTTCCTGATGGTCACTAGACTTGTAGGTTTTCCTTTCCTTGATTTTGTGGTGGGATCATAAGGTCGCACCTGTTCTGGAGTGTCAGGAGAGGGCAGTTGGGGCTTGAGGGGACAAGCAGATGGGACCAGGCAGGTTCACACATCCACATATGGCTGCCGGGAAGGAGGCGAGTGCTACGCACCAGCCAGAGCCATGCCAGGAGCGGGCTGTCTGCTTCTGCTCATGGAAACTTTTCAGTCTCAATAACAAGGGGAAACCCAAGTTAATCTTCACGGTAGGGCTGTGAGCTCTGAAGATTAATAATTCACTTTCTTTCCAGGAGCTGCTGACATTTCAGGTTCTGTTCTGATTATTGTTAAAGAGTAACGAAACTCTCTTAGGGGCCTGCCTTCTGGAACTGTGGCCCAGAGCCCTCTGGCTGCATGGTAGGGAGAGTGCTGAGGAAATGGAGCAATGTCCTTGAGGAAGGTTCCAGTAGCTGGTGTTGAGTTCCTATTTGGAGTGGCCGCAGGAGTGCAGTGGTGAGCGTTTATGACCTGGCTGCACAGGACAGGCTGAGCTGCAGCCACCGACGTGTTCGTGTCACTGCGCAGTGGGTGCTGATGGCGAGGAGAAAGCACAGCTGGCTCAGCCTCGAGTTAGGCCATGCCCATGGGCGAACAGTGGTTCTCAAGTAAGACCGGGTGCTCCCTGGCTGACAGTGTGGACCCTCGCTGAGGGGCAGCCATGCACGAGCTCATGAGGTCTGTAAGCATTAGTGTGTCCCGGTGCTGCGTGCACACTGGAAGCCGTATTGCAGGCTTGGCACCCGGGTAATGCATCGTGGCTTCCTGCACCTGTGCTCTAACTTGGAGAAGGGAAGGTCCTGGGCAGCCACTCTTGGGTGCTCAGGCTTGTATTTTAGGAGCCCTGGAAAGAATCCAGATTTGCAGAAAGACAGGCATTTCTGAATACGTAAACTTAGCTATAGTAAAGTGAACAATGCAGTGATATTTGGAACCTTTTGTGTTACCACCTCCCTCTCTAGCTCTAAGACATTTCATTACACAAAAGAAGACCCTCCCACATACACCCATTAAGCAGCCACTCCCCATTCCCTGTCTCCTCAACCAACTCCATGTCTTTTGTGATTCTTTGATTTCTCCTTTGAAGGGGTCGTAACATCTCATTGTTTTTGTTTTTGGCAATTCTGGGATTTGAACTCAGGACCTCATGCTTTCTGAGCAAGGGGCTCTACCACTTGAGCCACTCCACCAGCCTCATAACACTTCGTTGGTTCTTTCAAGAATAGTGAGTTATAAATAACATTTTTAACAGAGGTCATTTTGTTTAAGCAACACTTTAACAGCCTGGCTGGCCCTCAATGCTCTCTCTGGCCCGTGGTGCTGGCTTCCAGGTCCCATAGCTGCCTCCTCCTGTCCCTTCCCCACGATGTGGTGGGCCGAGACCTCTCTTAAAAGTGAGAAGCGTGGCTTAGAGCGCAGGAGTAACACTCATGGGTGGTTCCTCCAGTCAGAATGGGGGACTGCAAGTGAGGCAGTAAGAGTGAGTCCTCTTCCCTGGCTCGTCCTCTTTGCCCAGACATGGCAGGGCGCCATGTATTTATTAATTGGCATGTGTGTACACAGGGCTGTGTTAAGCCTGCACAGTGTGCACAGTGGTGAGGGGAACATGGCACCAAAAGCAGAGATGCAGCCGAACAAGGAGAGGACTCCCAACAGAATTGGAGCCCCTGTGTTTGCTTTAGAGTTGTTCGTGTGAGTTGAGCAGGGAGCAGGGTCCCCTTCTCAGAACACCGAAGCCCCCTGTGGTCCTCTTGGGGCACTCGGACCCCTGGAAGCTCAGGCATCCTATATACCCTGTTCTCCAGTGGGCTTTAAGGATGAGGTTGTGACTTTTCCAGTGCCACTGCTGTTGGCCGATCTCCATATCACAATCTGTTTCCCTTGTGAGCTTTGCCAATGGTGGGACCAGCAGGGTTGAATTTGGGGTCCCTAGCTTCTCCTAGTGGGGAAAGGCCCTCCCCTGGCTGGGACATTGTATCCTCCTCTGCGTTGTATCTTTCCTTGTTGGCATATTTTCATCTTTTCCCCAGATCCCAGACACTTGGGGAACACACAGTCAGTTGCAATAGCCCCATAGTTAAGCTATGAACTGAAGTCAGCAAGACTTTTTCAGTGCCTATAATTGGAGTAAATAAGTTCCAAGCATTTGTAGGACAACAGTGCTGAGCCATTTCTGCGATTTCTTTCTGGGTATGCAGTCTGTCCTGAGTAGAGAGAGATTTTGGCACCATGTTCTGCAGTTTGGGAATCAGCAAAGCCCCAGAATTACCCTTCCTATCCCAAACCAGTTTAAGGAGCTGCTAGAAAAAGAGAATTGTCCCAGCCTTAACTCATTCATTATTCATAAAGCACTTTGGCCCAGGACCCAGGTGTCTCTGGCCACTGAGGTTTGATGATGTCTTGGCAGTTTCCATCTGTGTGCTACTACCCCAGTGTGAAAAAAAATGACTAGAGGTTTATTCTGACACTTTTCCTCATAGAACACATGCTGTCCTCGGGTGCTGGATCACCCTTGTCTTCCCGGTTAGTTGAAGACAGTACAACGCAGGCTGTAGCAATCTGCAGTGTAATTAGTTGTGTGGGTGTGTGATGTGTTCTGAGCTCCAGCGGTTTATAATTTATAAACAGTTCAAATGAAAAACAAATTGGGACTTGGTAAGGAAACTTTCATAGAAAGGTTATGGCAAAAGGGGGAAAGGATGTTATGTCTTTGTTATGTGTATGTAGATGTTACACATACATGCATGCATATTCATAGATGCTCTGACCAAGTGATCAGTGTCCCAAGGGTTAGACGGACGGTTTTGTTTTGTAGGAGCAGAGACCAGGCTGACAAGAACCATGTGTGGGTACAGGGCGAGTGTGGAGTGATCACGGGGTGCTCACAAGGCCAGGCTGTTTCCCCAAAAGGGACTCGGGGGGTGGGGAGGGAGGGTCCGAGGGACCTGGGGAAGGAGAGAAGCTAACCTGAGGGTGGACCTGAGGGTTTTTTTTTTTTTTTTTTGCGACCCTTTCAGGCAGTTCCACTGGTCATTAGGAGGCACCAAGCAGGACCTGTAGGGTTCCGTGCCTGCCCTTATCCTGCGTATACAGGGCATTAAGTCTTGGCCAGTCATATGAGGGAAGGGGTTTTCTTGCAGTGGTCTTTCCAGAACATAGCATGGGGTTTCTTATCTGTCACTGTTGTCCAAGACCTCAGGGCTGGTGTGAACTCAGCTCTGTCCCAGGTGTCAACCAGAGTTTTGCACAGAGTAGGGTGTGTTGTTGTGGCTGGCCCCACTGACCTCGGCTCCCTTACTTAGTCAGGTGGCCCTGACACACCCTGCCTAGGCCTCTGGGGCAGGGACTCCATCCCTGCTTCCAGGGGGCAGAGAGGAGATGCCTGTATGTGGTCCTCCCCAGGTTGCAGGGGAGAGGCTTGGGGTCTCAGCAGGGCTCTCTTCCCTCCAAGATGAGGTTCCCTGGAGTGTTAGAAACAGAGTGTGATCAACCCTTACCCTTTGGCAAGGTCTCAGCTAAAGGCCTCCAGTTTTCCTCAGGTCTCCCTGCAATCTCTGACTTCAGCTGTTTTTTCCTTGTGTCCTGGAGGTGGGGGTCAGGGCTTTCGATGCAGCCTGGCACGGCCTTGCAGGAGCTTGTCGTTGACAGAGTGACTGAGCTCATCCACTCCCTGACTCCCCCATGTGTTCCTTGTCAC